GGGGGGGGGTTGGCCGGCCCACATCTATATTAGACAGCTTTAGGAAAAATGTTGACCGTATTCTTCACGTCTGCCTTGTCCATAATAAACAGGAAGTTGGTTACTTTGCTTCAAAACTCACACCAAGGCCAAACTCATTTACTTTTATCTCATGGTTCAGCAGATGTGAGTGATCAAAAACTCATTTGCTGGTATGTTACAGTTCAGATGTGAGTGAACAAAAACTAATTTGCTGGAATGTTACAGTTAAGTTGTGAGTGAACAAAAACTCATTTCCTGGCATGTTACAGTTCAGTTGTGAATGAACAAAAACTCATTTACTGGCATGTTACAGTTCAGATGTGAGTGGTCAAAAACGACGCAATCCAAAAACCAGTATGACAAATCACGAACTCCGGGGCCAGAATGTAGACATCAAAAACTCTTACCCAATCTGCAGGAGGAGGGTGAGGGAGGCGCTACAGTAGACGGCCTGGGTGGTCCTCCAGCCAAGGTCACTGCACAGATAGGAGACAGGGGACAGCAGCATCACGCCAAACGCCCAGATCAGCCCGCAGAACACAGCGTTCAGTCGACGAGCTTTGATTGGGAACAGCTCAGCGTTGAACGTGAATGTTCCTGTTAGGATTCCCTGGGAACATGCGTATCGTATTTTGTTTCGTTTGAAGTGTTGCTTGCTTTTTATGCATTTCTGTAGATGTTGGGTATTGACTGGGATTGTATTGGTGTCTGTGTCTGAGTTGACCCCCCCCCCCCCCTTCCGTCTCAAGTGTGTTTAACCGGTCATTTTCATTGACAAATGAAACACTTTTGTGTTCTTTTTTAATTAACAAGCTAGTTATGCGTTTCCTTTCCCTTTTATTTTTTAAAGTCCAAGCCTTGTAATATGCTAATAAAAACACTATAATGTGAGGAGTGGCATAAGGAATGTTAGCCAGTAAAGCAAAGTAATAATCGATACATCATCATCATCAATAGCAGAGGAATGGTGACACTAGAAGTGTCAATGAGCATTTATTAAAAGCATAGATATAAGTCAATTTTTTTTCGCAGTTCGCAAAACAAGGGGGTACATCATTGACGGGCATGATGTTCTAATAACAGAATTGTATCATAGCATATTATCTTCACTGTTGATTTACCTTGTCAGCAGAATACAGTTTTTGTCATTATTAGTACCATTAGTGTGGGATCTACGTCCTTGAGGTTGGGACTTGTTCTTGTATTACATAAAATAAGATCAGTTTTATTTTCTAAACGTTTGAGATTATTATAAATTACTATGTCATCTACACTTTCGAAACACAGACCCCTTGTGCTACATTGCGATTGATTTGACTCGAAAACTTGAAAAACAAATGCTTTTGATCTTAAAATTCACAGGTCGAAACTAGCTGAACTCTTACATAGTGCTGTGACAAAAATAGCAACTTTTACCTAAACCATGAAGGAGAATCTAGCTTGTCCCGGCTCAGTCCGCTTGGTCTGATTGGTGGTGTTCTCTGGGTATACATCATGTCTCTGATTTTTCTTTAACTAAGCGAGGCCTGAGATGTGAGACTAATGCTCTTGGAAAGATTTAAGAAAACTTTGGCGAACGGAAATACAGTCGAACCTGTGTAAGACGGCCACTCATTGTCAAGGAAAAAGTGGTCGTCTTAGGCAGGACTGATCAAAAAGAAGAAAACAAACCATTCCTTTTTGAGAAAACAAACCCTCCCTTCCTGAGGTCCGAACCGAAGGTAGTTACATTGTTGTTGTTGTTGTTTTCGCTGGGTTTTCTTTTCTTTTGTTGCAGCTTTTGTGTACGGGTGACAATAAAACGAAATGTGTCAGACAAGGAGGATCAAGGACTATGGTAAAACAAACTCACGTACTACCACTCGGAGAAAAAGCGACGCTTCTGTCACAAGTTCATGCTGACGTCCATTGTTACTTTGTTACAGACTGGGTAAACAGTGACCACTCATCTCACTTGCGAACTTGCGATAATTTGTGTAAGGATTCTGGGCGGGGCTTATGGGTTATGAGGGATCCCTCCCAGCAACTGAAAATTAATTTTGTTACCTATTGGTCAACAGTGGGAGGAGCCTACGCAAAATGATCAGTTGGAGGGACTACCTAACAACAACAACAGGTTTTTAAATTATGACAGCTCGTCCACAACGCCAGGGACCAATACTTGATTTATGACAAAACGTAATGGAGTCACTAAGATGGCCGTCTAAGACAGGTGTTATTGCTTAGTGTGATAGGGGTTGTGTGTTGAAATGTGGTGGCCGCGGCTGCGTTGGACAGGTGCCCGTTTTACACAGTAAAATTATATAGAAAAAACGCAAGGGGGGAAATGGAAAGTGTCCGTTTGTACAGGTGGCCTTATAGAGGTGGCCTTCAGGGCAGGTTCGACTGTACTTACACGGTCATAATTGAGGAAGACTGTTTTGTTGCAATAGTGATTGTTGGTATGACAATATAATTATATACTTGAACGTGCGTAATTTTCAACAAGGAACTTTTATCTTTTTTGCTCTTAGAGGCTGCGTTAATTAAGCGCGCGAGTCAGTGCATTAGAGCATGTATGCTTGTAAATATATAATATATAGATGTGTGACGACGTGGTAGAGTCAGGCGCTCGTCAATTTTGGACATATAAAGTTACTGGTATCGTCTGAATGCTTTTTCATTTGTCTTGCTTTCGACGAAAACAATTATCGATCTAGCTTCAATAGAAGTAGAGATATTTCATATTGAAAGAAGAGAGGGTCACCTGATTTAAAGGGTTAATTTAGCTGGAAAAGTTCGCCGCCAAAGTTTGGTGACTTGTAAAGCTTGGGAGTCCGTGCAAACTGTCAATTTACATTTTTTTGTGCTTTAATTATTGTTCTTCAATAAAAATCCACACACCAATATATTTTTCAAAAAGACGTAAAAAATATTAAGACAGAAATTAAAAAGTTATATAAAGTTAAATAAACATTGCCAAACGGAATGGAAAATACAATTTTTCTTCGATTTCATTATTTTAACGACCGCCTGATTTCATCATGATGCCTCATCTTTGCATACTGTAGTTGTGAAAGTCCGTCACTTTGGCCGCCTAAAACATATGAAACACTTAACTTTCGAATTTGACCAAATTAATGCTGGTTAAAATTCATTTAAAGGGTGCGCAGTTTTATTGAGGAGCCTGAAGTCACTGTAGTTGAATTTTCAGTTTTTCATTACTTTCGTTTAGATCAAATCTTGTTAAAGTCTGCCTTCTAAGACGCCATCATAAACAAGTGAGCTTTCCATTCACTAGCCGTGGGCACTCCACACCTTTGAAATTCTGGAGTGTAGAACAATGAAAGCGGAATAGAGAATCAATCTATACATATATTGGGCAACTTGGAAACACAAGTGTCATTTTTCTCTCAAGATATTTACTGTACCATTTGAGTAGAGTGTAAATATAGTAGGCCAATGACATTCAGTTGTTGTTGATTATACACCGATCATTCCTTTCATCAAAAGGGGGCCCAGTTAGTGCATATTATATAT